CGACATGCAGGTAATGTGGAATACATCGAGGGTTGAGAATATGGAATAGATTCCATGCATGTTAGCAACTTATTCGTGATCAGATTAGGTTAGGGTTAGGTTAGATTACAGCAGAGATAGACTACAGCCTGTAGTTTATATCAGCTTATTTGCGATTTATTAGCTTATTTGCGATTTTTCATTTGTGCATGTGTAGTAACGTTCGTAATAATGCTATTATATTTTCTGTGTTATTGTACAATATATAAAAATTGAATAGTTTTCTATTTTTCTTGATCAGTTTATATAAATAAACAAATTTGGACTTCACTTATTGTGTTATTTATTACTATGGTCAAATTTTTATCGGTATTCCATATTACATACCATTTTTTAGACCCCCTCATTTTCTCACTTTTAACTTTGTTTTTGTCACGCGAGGATTATAAATAATTTAACAACTCGCGGCGTTATCTTCAGTTGTAGAAAATAACTGCTTTATTTATTGAGAGAACTGCCTTGCACGCAGCTTCTTACATGCTCAGCCATCTTGGTTCTACTACTACTACATAACTATATATAATAGAGAGGCGACAATCTTGGTCGCGCCATCTAGTAAGGGTTTGTGGCAGCGCGGTAGGTTCCGGAAAGGCCCTTCATAATCAAACACAAACATGCCGGCCGCCTTGAAAAGCCTAGCTTTTCAAAATGTTAAAATAAGCCTTACAACATCAGGTAACTGAACCAAGCATAAATACAATAAACTCATTTATAAATCATTAAGTTTGAAAAGGGATATAGGTCAAAATTATTGCTCCACAGGAAGCAAACTCAGCCTGTTTGCTGCTCTTTTAAAAGTTCCTTTAGTTGTTTTGATCGTAGCTGCTCGGACAATGCCGTCGTCTCCGGGATGAACTTCTAGTATTCTGCCGAGAGGCCAATGCAATGGCGGCGTATTATCCTCTTTAATAAGTACCATGCTTCCGGGAGTCACATTAATATCCTCAACTCTCCACTTCGTACGTTGTTGTAATTGATGCAGATAGTCCTTAGACCATCTTTTCCATAGATGCTGGCGCATTTGATCAACTCTTTGCCAGCAGGAAAGTCTGTTGTCCTGAACGTTCAATAAAGTCGGTTCCGGAACGTCGGTAAGTACGTCTCCAATGAGAAAATGCCCAGGAGATAAGTATGTTAAATCATTAGGATCACTGGAAAGGACGGTGATGGGACGAGAGTTTAAAATAGCTTCAATTTGGATTGAAAGGGTTAGCATTTCGTCTGTCGTTAGTAACGTTTCACCGACCACCTTCCTAAAGTGAGTTTTGAAGGATCGGACTGCAGCCTCCCATATCCCGCCAAAATGAGGAGCTCTGGGGGGTATGAAATGCCATTGTACACCTTGAGTGGCACAATCCTGGGTTAATTTACGCTGTTCTTCAGTGAACATTTCATGTAATTTCTTCAATTCGCGGTCTGTTCCCACAAAATTTGTAGCGTTATCGGAGTAAATATCACTTGGTTTGCCTCGACGTCCTATAAAACGTCTTAGAACATGTATAAATCCCTCGGCGGAGAGATCGAATGCCATTTCCACGTGCACGGCCTTAGTTGCCAGACATACAAAAATAGCCACATATGATTTGTTGGTTCTTGAATTTCGCCGTTTGGATTCGCGAAGATAGAACGGTCCACAAAAGTCCACTCCCACATGCGAGAATGGTCGAGAACTCTGGACTCTGGCCTTGGGATGATAGGCTGAATAACTGAAGGATTGCTGCGGAAGCATTTGATGCACTTTCTGATTGTAAAACGAACTATGTTTCTGCCGTTCAACGGCCAGAATTTTCGACGAATGGACGCTAAAGTTGTTTGCGATCCAGCGTGTCAATCTGGAATGCTCATTTTCTATCAACAATTTGGTAAATGGATGCTTAGATGGCAACAACATCTGATGTCTTGCTGAGTAGGGAAGATTAGCCCTTTGAAGTCTACCGCCGACTCGTAAAATCCCTTGTTCGTCGATAACAGGTGTAAGAGACAAAAGTTTGCTGCTTCTTGGTAGTGGCTGATGATTTAATAAGTGTTTGAGTTCACTTGAAAAGGCGGATGTCTGGACCATCCTGACTAATGAATAGGTAGCCGTGTCAATTTCAATTGCTGATAAATCACCTCGACGCTTGGACTTGTCAGAACGGCAATTGTGAATAAAACGTAAGATGTAACCTTGAACTCGTATTAACTTATCAAGCGTTGAATATCTATTGAATATTTCTAGGATTTCTTGCTGTACGGCCACAGTTGTTGTCGTCCCCCTCGCTTCAGGTATCTTTTGCTCCGTTAACCAATTCTTAATGCACCATTCAGTTGCATTCTGTGCAAACCATGCCACCACAATTCAGTGGAAAGTAATGATGATGGTGACATGCCTCTTGAGATGATGTCCGCAGGATTGTGTGAAGAATGCACGTAGAACCAATTATTTTTATCGGAGATGTTTTGAATGGCGCTCACGCGATTTGCTACAAAGGTGTTCCACCTCCTAGGAGGCGTCTTTATCCATGACAATGCTATTGTAGTGTCCGACCAATAATAGACATGTGCGAATGTAATGTTTATGGACTTTAGTACCTTGTGCATTAATTGCGCTAGTAATAATGCTGCACACAGTTCAAGGCGTGGCAAAGACAGATTTTTCAAGGGTGCGACCCGAGTCTTTGCACACAATAGATTCACCTTGTACTGGGTTTCTGAAAGTTTGCTTCTAATGTAAATGCAAGTTCCGTACGCCCTCACGCTGGCGTCGGCGAAGCCGCATAAATCCAATTCTGTGTTATTGTAGTGAATAACCTTTCGTGAAATTTGAACTTGATTTAGAATAGGAAGTTCTGCTTCGTATCGAGCCCACTGCGTTTGGATGTCGCTGGGTAACGTCTCGTCCCAGTCAACCTTGAGTTCCCATAAGCGTTGCATGAAAATCTTTGCAGTAGTGATGATTGGTCCTAAAATTCCCAATGGGTCGAAAATGTGAGCGATAGTTGACAGAATACTCCTCTTCGTGATCTTCGATTGCTTTGGCACAGTGATATCAAATTGCAGCATGTCATCTTGAGAATTCCATTGCTGACCTAGCGTACGTAAACTTGTGTTCTCGCTAATATTTAGAATGAAGTCTGTGGCCATTGCAGAAATGCCATCCAGAACTGCTTGTTCATTGGATGCCCAATTTCGCAAGACGAAGTCTGCTTTGCCTAATATTAGGTTCACTTGATTGTGTATTTTAATAAGTTCTTCAATGCTATCAGCGCTGGTCAAAAGATCATCTACATAAAAATCAGATAGAATCCTTGAGGCTCCTACCGGTGCGTTGTCTTGTTCTAGTCTTGCTATTTCTTGTAAGGATCGTATCGCGAGGAATGATGCTGATGCTGTACCATATGTCACGGTAGCCAGTTCGAAGATTTGTACTTCCCTTGTCTTACTGTCTCGCCATAAGATTCTCTGCAGTCTCCGTTGAGATTCATCGACTAAAATCTGACGGTACATTTTTGTTACGTCTCCTGAAAGAACGTATTTCCACATGCGAAATTTGATTAAAATAGAAAACAAATCCGGTTGCAAAGCTGGTCTTACCATGAGGACATCATTTAGAGAAACTCCGGTGTCTGTCCTGCATGAAGCATCGAAGACGACACGAGTCTTCGTGGTGGTGCTTGTATCCTTGAAAACCGCATGATGTGGCATGTAATATGATGCGGTTGTTTCTTGAGAATCTACCTTGGGATGCATGTGCCCAAAGCTCTATGTATTCTTGCATGAATTGTGTGTATGCTGTCTTCATTTCAGGATGACGACTCAACCTGTTTTCAAGTGCATGGAAGCGTTTCAAAGCAACGTCGTAAGAACGTCCTAATGTTTGCAATCCATTCTTCTTAATGGGTAATTTTACTATAAAACTACCATCATCAGTCCGACGGTAATTTTCTTTGTAATGTGCTTCACATTCTCTCTCTTCAGTCGTGAGTGATGAATCGGAAGAGATCTGTTCAGTTTGCCAAAACCTCTCAATAGCCTGTTCTAGGCTGACATGACTTGTTGCTATATTGCACTGGATTGTTTCCATGGGTATTGTGTTGTTTGGATATCTTCCACTCAGTACCCATCCAAAAAGTGTTTTCTGAAGTAACGGATGTTCCGCTGTTTCCTTGATTTGTCCAACGCAAAGAGTGCCCCAAAATATTTCTGCACCTAGTAATATATCAATGTCCTTTGACTGATTGAATTCTGGATCCGCAATGGGTAGATTTGCTGATAGCTTGAAGTTGGTTTTGTCCATGCTGATAGTGGGCAAACGTTCGGTGATCTTCAAAATCAAGCAATTGATGATGATATTGTATGCATAGAATCTTGAACTTAATTGTACTTGAGTCATTCGTTTGACCTGACTGCACGCATGATTCACCCCGACGATCGAGATGTCAATAGGCTTCACTGTAAGGCCTAAGCGTTGTACTAAATCTTTAGTTATAAAGTTTGACTGCGAACCTGAGTCAAGTAGAATGCGACAAGTTTGTTTGTTTCCTTGGCAATCGCGAACGTTGACCAGTGCCGTTGACAAGAAGACTTGCGACGTAACGTTCGACATTGTCGTGTGTGCAACATTGGTTGTGGATGCGTTTCCTTGTTGCGTTGTTGTCTGATTTGAAGATTCCGAGACCTTAGTTTCTGATTTGTCTCCGGAAATATGAAGTAATGAATTGTGACGTTTTCCACATGTTTTGCAATTGCCGTACCTGCAATTCCTTGCCGTATGTGATGAGGCCTTTAAGCAATTCCAACATAATTTTGCCTCCTTGATGAAGTTCAGACGATCCTCTGGTGAGAGATCCAAAAATTGTTTGCATGAATATATCTGATGATCTTTCTTGCACCTTTGACATGATGCCGTTTTGGTACTAACGAGGGCCGATACCTTTGCTTGTCCGACCTTAACTTGCGTCTGCAATGAAGAACCCTTTCTGTTGATAGCCTCCGATGTGTGACATCGATGCTCCAAAAACTCTGTTAAATGCTGCAGGGTGGGAATGTCATTTCCTGTGATGCTGTCTTCCCATTCCTTATTAGTATTGTGATCTAGTTTGCCGGTTACCAAATGTATGATGAGATCGCCCCATGAATCCGTTGGACGGCCCATAGCCTTTAAGGCCCTTATGTGCTTGAGAACTCCGTCCACTAACTGACGAAGAGCATTAAAATTCTCCTTTGTAACGGATGGTAACTTAAACAGTGCTCTGAGATGCTTTTGAATAATGAGACGCTTGTTGTCGTATCGCTTTATCAGCATTTGCCACGCTTGCTCATAGTTGTCAGCCGACATTTCGAGTGACTGAACCAATTCAGCAGCCTTTCCTTTAAGTGCCGCCTTCAAATAATGAAATTTTTGAATTTCATTTATTGAACGATCTCTGTGGATAAGTGACTGGAACGTGTCATGGAACGGGTACCATTCCTCGTAGGATCCTGAAAATGATGGCAAGTCAATTTTCGGTAATTTTAAACTAGTACCTGACACCCGATTGCGATTGATGTTTGCAGGGCGCGTTTCAGTAACCGGATTTGATGTTGCACCGCGAGAAATAATTAGCTCTTGAAACCTTGACGTAATGTCATAATACGTCTCCTCGAACTCATTTCTGTCGAGTTCGTGAGTCTCGAGCATGTCTGCCGAATCTAGTAACTCTTCAATTTCCGATTGTACTTCGTCGAATTGTGACCACGTGGCTTCAATTTTGGCTTTACGCTCTGATAATTGTGCTGTATTGAGCTCGCTAATGACATTTGAAGTAAGCGTGTTGTGAGCCCTTGTACATAATGCCTTTAACTGACCTCTACGAATTTTTAACTTCTTTAACCTATCCTCCATGTTTTGACGATATTGTGAAATGCGAGGG